GTTTTAAAAGGGTTAATAATTATTATAATTTCTTAATAACCGAGTTTAAATTATAAAGTTATATAAAATATTATGTAATAATTATTATTTTAATATAAAATATAAGGAAAGGAAAACGTTACCGTTTAACGGTAATATTTTTAAAGGTTAAATCACATTTAATAAGTTACGTAACGTAATTAACGATTAAATTAATACGATTTAATGAGTATATAAACCATAAATATAAACGTAATTTAATCATTTTTTTTAAGCCTTAAAAAGATCTTTAAAAGTAAGTAATTAAATTATATAAAATAAAATAATAAGGTTTTTTTTAAATTAAACCGATATAATTATTAAATTAACTATATAAATAATTAAATATAATAAAGTAATTTATTTTTTAAACCGCGTATTTATTTTAAACTTTTTAATTTAAAATTAAAGTTAAAAGTTATTATAATTATAATTATTATTATATTATTATTATTTTTTTATATATTTACCGAATTTAATTAAGTTAAAAATGTAAGTTTAAAAGTTTTTATACGCGTAAAAATTTCTTAAAAAATTATTTTATATAAGAAATTTTAAAAATTAATTTATAAATATATAAATAAATTTTAATTTTATATAACTTTTTTATATTTAATTATAACCCCATTTTATATTTTTTTAAAAGTTACCATTTTATTATTAATCTTATTTTTTTAATCTTATTTATTATTATAAAATTTTTATAACGTATATTTTTTTTAATTATTATTAATTTATAAAATTTTTATAATATTTAACTTATTATAACTTTATTATAATTAACCTTTTAAATAATTTTTTAAATATTATTTATAAAATGTTTAAAATATTTAACCGAATGCTTTTAAAAGGTTATAAAAGGTTATTACCGTATTATTTTTTTTAACGCGGTTTATAAAGCATATATTTAATTTTAACCTTTATTATTACGTAACGTTTAATAAAGTATATCCGATAATATAAGTTGTATTATTTTAAAAAGTTTAAAAAAAGGTTTTATACAAATGTAAATGTATTATTATAAGGTAATTGTCACGGTTAAAGTAGTCACGTGATTGTGTGCGTATAAACGGGCGGGGTATTTTATAAGTTACGGTTTTTTTTTATCCCGTATACCACAATTTATTTACCGGATAATTATCGGGTAATTATAAGATAATTTTAAAATAAGCCTTTTTAATTTTATATAAATTTAAAAATAAACTTAATCCTTGTTTAACTTATGGGTTTTATTTCGTATATAAGATGTTTTAATGGTAAAAATATTTTAAATTATATATATATTTTAATTTACCACCTTTTAATAAGGTTATTTTATACGTATTATATATTACTTGGTAGCCTTAAATTTTCTTTATTTAAAAGTATTAATTAAAGGGGTATAAATGGTTAAAGGCGGGCGTAATAAAGGTTAAAAAATCGTTTATAAAATAAGCGTTTTTAAAAGTAATAATAATAACGTACCTTTTAATATTTACGTAAAAGTAAAATATATACCGTTTAATAACCTTATTTAAAAAGATTATAATAAAATAAATTATATAACTTTAAAAGATATAAATATAAAATAAATATAATTTTATAATATTAATAAAAAATTATATATATGTAATTTAAGTTATATTTTAAAAATAAAATATAAAAAAATTATTTATAATATATTAATTTATATATAATAAAATATTTTATAAAAGGTTCCTTATATTATTAAATAATATGTACAAATAAATAACCCGAAAAAAAACAAATATAATAATATATAACATATTATTATTAAAGTTTATTATAAAGGTAAATAATTAAAAAAGACTGTATTATAAAGTAATTTTAAAGTAATTATAAAGTAACCTTTTTTATATTTACAAGGTAAAAATAAACTTAAAACTTATTAAAAGATAATATAAAAATTTTATAAAATAATTATATATATAATATAAAATAAAGTAATAAAATATTATTTTAATTTTATTATTTAATTTTATTTTTTTATAAAATATTACCGTTATAAAAATGTTATTTTATATCGTATTTAATTATAATTACTTTAAAACTACTTTATATTTTTTTTATACGTAATAATCCACTTTATTTTAAATATATATTAAACTATTATAAAATAATTTTTAAGTAAGCCTTTTCGTATTTAACTATTATTTTATTTAATTATATTTATATTAAAATATTTTTATTTTTATTTTTATTTTTATTTTATAATTTATATATTATTTATAAAATAACCTTTACCTATTTTTAATTATATTATATATTAACCATTATTTATCTTATATTTATTTTATATTTATTTTAAAACCATTTTATACTTACTTTATATATACCTTATATTTATTTAAGTTACTTATTTTATAAATATATTATATATTTACTTTATAATTACCTTATATTTATTTTATATTTATTACACATTTACCTTATAATTACCTTATATTAACTTTTTTTATAAAGTAACTTTTAAATAATCCTTTTTATATTTAACCTTCCCGTTCTTTTTTATACCTTTATAACCTTTACTTAAAAATCTTTTACTTTTTTAAAATAAAAAGTTAACTTTATAATTTTACTGTTTTTAAGATGTTTTACTTTAAATTACGTTATAAACCTTTTTTAAAATCTTAAGGTAAAGATAACCCCTTTATTTAAATAATAATAATTAACGTATAATAATTTAATAAAACATTATTAACAAAGTTTTTAACGCTTTAATAAAAGATTTAAATACTTTTTTTAAATATTTATCAAGTTTATTTAAATTGGTAATATAAGTTTACAACTTTTAATATACGTAAATATTTTTTAATAAATTTAATTAAATTATTTTTTTAAACGTATATAATAATAAAAATAAAAAGATATTATAATGTTAAAAATATAAAAGCTACCTTTATACGTTAAAATACAACGGAAAAATCAAGTTATTAAATTATTATTATATTTATTTTATACTTATTTTATACTTATTTTAAAATTATCTTATAAATATTAATTTATTTTTTAATTTATAAAATAATTTTATTTAAAAATTTTATTTTATACTTATTTTAAATTTACTTTATAAATATTTATATAAATTAAGTTTTATAAAATAATTTTACTTAATAATATTATTTAAGAGGAATTTATTACTTTTCCCGTTTATAAGGTAGTTTTTTTCGTTTAAATTATTCGGGAATGTTTTTATATCTTTTTATTTATAAGGTAAATTATTTTATTAAACTTATTTAAGAATATTATATTTAATATAACGTTTTATAAAATAACTTTTATTAAATATTTACTTTATATTTTTTTCCTTTTTATTAAATAAGTTTTATTAATAAAACTTACTTTATATCCCGTTAACTTTTATTATTATAAAATAATCTCTTTTATACACTTACCCGGTATTAGTTTCGTGGCGGGTATATAAAAAGTTTAAAAATAATTATTTTAATAACTTTTTTAATTTTCGTATATATTATTTATCGTTATCAACTTTCGGCTTTTCGGTTATATTAACTTTTAATTTATTTTTTAATATATTATAATCTTTTTTTAATGACTTTTTTCGTTTTCGTTAACATTATTTTAATTGTTTAAAATAATCGCTATTATTACCGTTATTATTACTTTAATGATTATTACTTTAATAAACCGTTTTATTATAACTTTTTACTTTTAATTGTTCGATAAATTTATCGATTAAATAAGTTATTATCGTTTTTTTTATTACTTTCGCTTTTTAAATTTATTATTTAAAAGGTTTATTAACTTAAAGTATTTATTTAACGCCGTTATATAATAACGCACATTTACATTACTTTATTTTATATAATTTAAACGTATTTTTAACGCGCCGTTTTTTAACGCGGAACCATTATTTTAATATAACTTTATTCCCGGTTTACTCGTAAAAATCCGCGCCGAAACCGGCGTTAAAACGGTAAAAGTGCTACCATGTAAACTGGTTAATCGGTTAAAAAGTACGTTGATTATCTTAAGTTTAATGGCCTTATAAGCTTTACTTATATAACATACATTACGACCTTTATCGTACCTTAATCACCTCGGTGACGTGGATTACATCTTAAGTCACTTTTAACATAAAGATTATAATACATCTGTCACTTACGATACTTATAAGAAAGCGAGCCCCTCGTTTACCGTCGACACACAGTTAAACTTTAACTTTAAACAAGACTTCTCCGATGAAATGAGTAGACTAGTATGTCTGCGCTTTAAATATTACAGTCTTAAGCTCACTGGGTTCATCTCCATAAGTCGCAACCACCAAGAGAACCGTTATGCATATTGCGTGGTTAACCCCGTTAATAATTTCGATCTTTTAAGGCAATCGTGGTAAACTGCTCTTAAGGTCACCGCCTTCGTCGTCGGGACTGTCATTGGTATTGCTGTCACTATCGGCATCGGCTTAACCGTCGAAGACAGTCTCGGCGTCGCCGTTGGTGTATTCGGGCTAAGCGAAGTGGCGGCCGTTACAGCCTCTTCCGTAATCTAAGTCGCTTCAGCCGCAATTGGAGGAGCAGCCGGCAATATCGCTAGCGGTTATGTCAGCGCTGCCATCTAAGGCAACACTTACACTGGAATAGATGCCCTCGTCGACGCGCTAAGGGGTGCCGCCGGTGGTTCTGTTGATGTCACGAGGTGGAACCAAACAGCATGGAAACAACTTCGTTGTTCCGCAAGGAACTCTAACCTATCTGGCGAGCCCATGGCTCGTATATACATACATGTTCTTTGTCCTAAATGTCTCATCTAAAATCCTGACAGTTGGCAAGCTGACCGAACCCGCAGCTTAAGCGTTTGTGGCTAGCGCTAGGTACGGCGAAGGGGCGTTAGCTCCGTCGGCATAGTAGGCTTTAGCGGGCGGAATCACAAGGGCTGTTAACCAAGGGACGCAATGTATTGTTAGGCCGATCTTTCTGGGTGAGTTCATAAGCCTATTGAAGGTCGGTACTTCCGTGCTTATGGAATTCGGTAGAGGCTTAATCGGGATGTACGCCCTTAATAAGATGAAGGTGTGGTATCGCGAGACTTTGCCTCGTGTTTTAACTATAGCAAAGCAGTTTCTGGGAAAGATACAAACTGATCGGATGAAGGACATTGATGTTTACGACAGCAGCGGGGTGGATCTTGTCGGCTTCGAGAGTCTTTCGGGGACTAGCTCGGCTGTTAATGCGGAGATTTCTACTCTGGCGAGTTCAACATTAAAATCTAGGCCTGGGACTTTAAATCTGGAACATGAGGATCTTCCTCCGTTGACAACCGAACTTTGAGAGCCGGATGTTACGATATTCGATCCCCCAATGCAATAGAAGATCTGTTTGAACGTTGTGTAGGCAGTAAAGCAATAGTAAATCGGGGATTTTGTCAAGGAAGGCCTCGCCGTAGTTACATTACGTTTATACGCTTAGCTACTCGAATCCGTTTAAAGGTAGTAGTATAATAAGTATCGAACACGTTTCCCGTCTTAAAAAGTATCAAATCTAAGCCTCTTCTATCTCTGCATTATCAGGGGGTACAAATGGAGTTTCCTGGGCCTTCCAAGCTTGCGTTACGTATCTGGAGAAGTTAGGAACTCCTCGCCCTGGTACATTATGAATAGGGTCTATCAAAGGAATGACAACATACTTTGTATGACTTCCCCTTGCAGCGAGTTCGCCTTTGGCATTCCGGAAAGTTACAGACGTATAAGCTAATGTCTTGCCGACTATTCAGGGGATTAGTTCTGGTCTTGCTGCTTATCTGGATGAAAGTTCCTCACTCTTGTCGCAAATGGCGGTAGCGGTGATCTTGTCGCCAACTTTACCACCGCCGCTTAGATAAGTGACTTGGGAAGTTAGCGTTACCTCGGCTTATAGATTCGTTAGAACCCTGTTGTAAGCCCACCGTTTAGATCTGTTGACACGCCCGTCGCATAAAGCCCCATCGATGAGACAGCGAGGGAGCCTCCTAAGTCTACCATGCTAGCAATTGTACCGCCATGTATAATATTCAGGCGGTTCTGGGCGCAGGTCATGAGTAAGTCTTTAATGAACGTGAATCTGGATCGCGTATCTTACCGTGTGGTCCTTGGTGATATCTAATTCGAAATCAACCTTCCCTACAGCGGCGTTTGTAACTCTGAACTATGATCATTAACAGACTTAGACAACTGCCATTTACCGCATATCGAAATAAACGCACGTGCGGCCCTAGTAGCCTAGTAGAAGAGGATCAGTAACGGGATGTGAAATATCATGGGAGCATCGAATCGATTTACCTCGGCTCTAAGCCGGACTCGGCCATAAAGGATTTCAAGACCTAAACGGTCCCAATTAGTAACAGTAACATTTCGTGGATGAGATTCCGGATGCTAACCGATCTCACGAATCTCAGCGGGGGTAACTTTTGCGCCATTGTGAGATTTGGGTATGAATTGTTCGGGAGATGAAAACTAAGCTCCGGAGTCCGCGAGCCGAACTAAGGTGATTAACAGCCGCACCGTTTTACTAATGTGGATCCAAATAGGTAAATAAAGTGGGTCTGATATGGAGCTACCGGTACACTGATACGCTGATAAGAGATAAGCAATTGCATTCTTCACCTTTTGCGACCGCATTTTTAGCCGCCCGATCTGATCAAACAATGGCTTTTTTTCATGGCATCACGGTAGCGCAGCTATGGCTACGAATTTCGAACCCCCAGAACCCACGATAATACCCACAGCCAACGCCGTTCCGTATACTCGATTACATATAACGCCGTTAGACGAATCGTTGCTTAGCGTTGTTGTCCCCTCTTCGATCCTACCTCGAGCGCGTAACATCTCATATCACACTATCGAAACCTTTCCTGACAAGCAATACGGTTTCGTCGATCTACCCGCGGCCGATGCGGACAAGATTAAAAGAAAACTAAACGGAGCCGTCCTGAGAGGAATCAAGATGCGTATCGAGAAGGCCAAGCCTGAACGTATCCCCGAGCCCACAGGCGCGGCTTGTGAGAGCGAAGTCAAGAAGGATAGAAAAAAGAGGAAGCGCGAGACTGACGTGACACCCGGAGTTGAACTCGAAGGTCGAAAAGTCAAGCGCGGATGGACTACCTCGGATCGCAAGATGATTGAGGAGAAGCGGAAGACAAAGAAGGAAAAGAAATCTAAGGAAGGGAAGAAAAAGAGGAGGGAGACCAAGTCAAAATATACAGATGGGCCTGAATGTTTGTTCAAGACGAAACTTCCGAATGCTGGGATATCGTCGAAAGATAGTCAAGATCCCGACGGGTCCAGAAAGAAGAAGCACAAGAGCGGTCGCGAGGTAGTCATGCACGAGTTTGAGAAGACGATAAAGCATCCTTCATTTCTCAAGAGCAACACCGAGAAGTCAAGCTTAGGAGCTGTGTCCTTTGAAGATGGCGTCGGCTGGGTGGACGAGCACGGAGTTGTTGTCGAACCCGTCGCGAGTAAGAGACCAAGCGTTAATCCTTCTAAACAAGCGGCGGAATCCAAGCCCTCCGAACCGGTAATTTCTGCAGAGGACAGCGATACGACGAGCAGCAGTGGCTCTTCTGATGACTCTGGTGATTCTGATTCTGATGATGATGATGATGCCAACGATGCCGATGATGCCGAGGTGCTCGGCCAGGTCGTAGATAGCTCAGAGGATGAAGAAGGCAACGAGCAGCCTACGGAGCTCGAGTTAGACACGCGGATTTTGACCAGCCCCGTATCAATCCTAAAGACGGGGTCCGCGAGGCCGAAATCTTCCGGTTCGACCACAAGCCTCACCATTAAGATACCCCCTGTCACGCCGGCTGCTACGAAAGTGCATCCCCTCGAGGCGTTATATAAGCGACCTAAGGGGGACTCTGAAATACCTAACGAAGCTCAACCTTTCAGTTTCTTTGACGGAGACGATGATGACATCGAAGAAGATGATAGCGCCATGGGTCCCCCGAGCCAGCCTCCCATGACTCCATTCACAAAGCAAGACTTTGAATATAGAAACGTAAGGAGCGCCGCGCCGACTCCGGATACGGCACATCCTAGTCGGACTTTCAATCTATGGCCGAGACAGGGCTCTACGGATGATATAGCCGAGGATGATGAGGAAGAAGAACTGGAGGACGACGGCGAGCACGCGGGAATCAGTACCAATGCCACCCATGCCGATGGTGGCGGTCAAACTCCTGCTAGCGATTTTCAAAGGCAGTTTTGGGAGAGCCGGGGTGATCTGAACCGCTCTTGGAGGAGGCGGCGGAAGGCTGTTTCGAAAGAGAAGCGTTATAGGGACAATCGTGCTCGTGCAGAACGGGCAATTTAGGGCGTGTATCATACGCAAATTTCAGCAGTTTTATATTAGGTGTTGCTTTTATACATGTACTATAATCCATAGGTATACACGGGCCTTATTAACGAACCAGAACCCATATAGGAAAGGATTTCCATGTTACAAGACACTCTAAACTCATTAGTTGCTCGGTCACGAAATCAGAAAACCATAATGAATGAAACCTTCGCATTACAAACTCTTCATCATCAATCAGGTACTATGGATCGTGTGGTCACGATATTCTGCAAGTATCTCAACTGCCAAAATCAAAGCTGTAACCTTCCTTACACTGAGAGCTCGGATTATCCCGCCTCCACTATCTGCAAAATGACTTCCTCTTCCACCTTACAATGAGGCTAAATAAAAGCCAAGTTTGTGTTCGCCACTTGTCAAAGAATTATTTATGGAAAAGAATACGGCATATGCCCTCGTGATCAAAACTCAATTCTAAGCGAATCGGTCAGCATGCATATTGATAGGTAGAGAATGAAGAAACACTGACCTTGTGGGCACAGTTCCAGCGCAATATTAACGGAACTAGAACTCACAGTCTGGTGGGGGTTCCATCAAACCTGAGCTAGTAATTCAAAGTTGCTCACAAAGGGAGAAAAAAGAAAAAGAAATGACCAAACAGCCGAGAACCTCGGACGTCCAGATCGTCACCAAGATAGTGATCCAAAGTTCCATGCATGATCAAGGATCAAATAGAGATTGGTCACCCTAGGCTATCTTCTGAGGTGAAGAGGGAGCCTCGCTGGAGCGCTCGAAGATGGGGCTAAGTTCCTTGTAGGCAGTTCTATACGGATACGAGAAGTTGGTTTCGACTTCGTACTTGCGGTCGGCGCTGGAGAATGTGCCCTGCGACGACAATTCGGTAAGCGAGCTGCTACGGGGAGGGAACATGCCAGCATTGGTGAAATCGCGCTTAGTGCTACCGTAGGTGACAAGAGTGCTAGAGCTGAAAGAAGGTTCGAGACACCAGCTGTCGCGCGGAGGGAGGCCAGGACGGCGGGGTGAGCTAGACTCGGAAGAGCCCAAGTAGCCGATGTCGGTAAGGTCAGACCCAGCCGAAGCAGAGTAAGGAATAGGGTAAAGTTGTTTGTTGGTGACTACAGAACCCTCCTGCGCAGAACAGGCACTGAACTCTGTGGGTGATCCCAGCTTACCCATCTCCTCGTCATGTAAGGAGCTGCTGCGAGCAATACCGATGCCGCTGTCGACAGAAGACGTGGTGCTTTGGTTGCGGACTTGTGCTCGAGCGATAATATCTTGTGCCCCTGGATTAATAGCTGCCTTGCGGTTCTTCTGGGAAGACGGATATCGGACCGGATATTGGTCGAAACGATTATCTCGGGGGTCTGCGGTGCGGCGATGTCGACCCATATTCTGCTCGATGGAAGTGGCTGACTGGCGGTAGACGCCGCCCTCAGTTCGGTGCGCAGCAGTGCGGGCAGGCTGCGGGTGGGTAGGGTATCGTAGCTGCTGAGGGCGGCCTCGGCGGCTGTAGTCGCGGTTGCCCATCTCGACCCACGGTGCTTGCGTATACAAGCCTCGGCTAGGTCCCCATTCCTCGATGCCAGTTGCGCGGTGCTGATTCACGATGAGAATCAGAACCAAAAGGACAATGCTGCCAAACAACCACAGAAGAACAGCATTCTTCACATCCTCGTTAGTCTGCTTATCCGAGAAGGACTTGAGCATGTTAGCGCTGGCGATGATGCTGACCGTGGCTGCGCCTATCAGGCAGTAGAGCACGATCTGGACAGCATCGGTATTGGGACCGGGACGGAAGAAGGTGAATATGCCTACTACCCAGTTACAACCGTTTCGAAAGAAGCCGCAAAAACGAGCCTTGACGAAGGGACGACGATGCTGATTATCTGAAGTGACGGAGGAACGCGGGGAGAGTTGTAGGCCAAGTCCTTGACCAGTAGTACCGCGAGGTCCCTAAGACGCGGCCTGACTGTCGTGGACAGCATGGTTGTTCGAGGACATCTTGCTTGAGCTAGAAATTAACGGCTTTGATCCTTTGGTCTTGTTACCAATTTTGCCTTTGGTCTTCTGGCTAGGCGTGATATGATCGACAGAACGAGGATGTGAGAACTGTGTGTCCTGAGGTAGGACTTTATCGTTATGACGATGATCGCCAACGATGCGGCTGGTGGTAGCTTTGGTAATCTCGCGGGTTTGGTTCAAGACGCGAGCCTGGCGCGAATTTGACGTTCTAGGCAAGTCCAGTTGTATAAAAGGGATATCTCTGTAGCCTATTTTAACATAGTTGTTAGATAGGTTCATAGTGCAGTGTTGTCGGAAGTGTTCAGCCTCAGATTCCAAATTTCACACAGATCCTGTATACCATAACCATGTTGACCAGTTGGCCAATCAATCAAAGACAGCTACCCAGATACGACTGGGGACATGGCATAGAAGCAAGGAAGTAGAGGGAAATTACCTCTTCCTGGATCCCCACGGTTGCCTGTAGTTTGGGACATGATGCCGGTGACAGATGATTCACCATTCACCAATACCAGTAGAGACTGAATGTGCTGAAAAGGGCTGAATGTGCTGAAAAGGGTATGGTTATTGATGGTGTTGGAAAGGAATCAAAGGCCTATCATAGACTTGGAGCATCCAAGTCTTTGAGCTTCAGGTTTCAAGTGATAAAAACTGTTCCCTGTAAGAAAAGGTAGAGTATAAAAAGTGTTAACTAGATACTATATAAAGACCAGGGGCACAGCGTGATGGCTAGCGCACGCCTGGAATAGCTAAGAATATGCACTGGCTGGGATCTATGGAAAATAAACAGCGAGAATAGGCAGCTTACCTTGTGTAGATAAACCAAGATTCGAGGAGTCTCGGGAAAATGACGCCGATAGGTCCAGTAGTAAACACTGGCTTGAATGCCTAGCGAGTGGACGATTTAGGCAAACTCCTATAGTAGCAATGGTTAGTTAAGATCTATGTAGTTTGTATTTCTGTGCAAGAATAACATTGGAATACTGACAAAAGAATGTCAACTGGATGCAACATAGATAGATGCAAAGCCCCTTGTTCATCGCAGTGAGTCAGCGGTCGTGCTGTAGAGTGAAGGGGTTAAGGAATAATTGACGGCACCGATGAAAATATTGCTAGTAGGAACACAAGAAAGAACAGGTAGCTTCTTCAGCTGTTTCTTCGCGCATAAAATGGGTGCAGGGTGGAATCAAATGGTCATTTTGTTGCGATAGGGTACGCGCGAACGTAGAAGATAGAGACCGGATGGTTAAAGATAGGCTGAAGAACAGACTTACCTTGTACAGGAGATGGGTTGCGTAGATATGACAGGTTTTTGCAGAGGGAAAGGAAGAAAAACCAAAGGGAAATTTGTTCCGCGAGAAGACATGCAAAAAAGTGTGTTGATCAGCTGTTCAAGCGTTAGGGCAAGATGTTCTAAGGTAGGAACGCGGTTTGCATTCGCGTCTATATGGTCGCGACGCGTTGGGGAGGTGGGTACCTCGGTTGCGTAGAAACGAAATGAAACCTAACATGGGAAAGAGGCACTGAAGTTAAGAAACGGTTTAGAATGGAATGATACCTATCAGGGCAAAATATATATGCAAAGGATGATTCAAATTCAAGAGGAGTAAGCTAGAAAATGTCAGAGGCTGCCCTTGGTATATCACCACTACAGAGTGACAGGTGACTAGCTGGTAAATAGCTCATATGGTATATATTTAATACTACTAACGCCTGCCCTTTCCTAAATCTATGAGGGAACCAAGGTCCCCTTATATACAACATAGTGTATGACTAGCTGGTAGATAGCTTCAAGCTAGATCTTAGACCCCTTATCACGTCATATACCTATCGTCATCCTTGTCATCTGACAGAAAAGAAGCCACGAATGGGCTTGGAAATTGGACACGGTTTGGTATAAATAAAAAAGGAGTTTGGTTTCAACTTGCAAACATATTGCCTTTGTCATGGCCAAGCAAACTTTCTTCCAATGCGGGTAACGGTAGATATAAATTTGATAGGAGTCATGTTATATTTGCTAATATTTTACTCTGTTATCTTATAACCCAGTTTGTGATATAATTATTTTCTAAATATTCCCTCAGTAGCTTAAGCCAATGTATAAACCCTTAGGTACCTAGGTAGTAGATGATATTAAGAAGTACTACCTAAGCTCAACCTGTCAGGAGACGATAACCCTACATAAACCATAGAAGCTCTGTTTATACACGCCGAAGGCATCCTCTGTTATAAACGGTACACCCGGAATCCTAAAATGCCGCAAGTTTTAAGGCTATTAACCGGCTGTTGTTGGGTATTTATTTGGAAATTATCTTATATCGTCCCTCGAGTTGAATATATTACGGGTATTGTTTAAACACGTAAATCCTTAAGACCATTAACCGATTCCTTATTTGAATAAAGGCCGACCTACATTGATAGCTTTATGTATTAGTGCTTCATGACTCTTAATCATCTACAGCCATTACTGACCTAAGTATTTCTTATGCCGTTGAACAGCTTAGTTCAACCGCTACTTTCTCGGCAGTCTGTAGCCTTCCTTCGTATCAAAAGTCATGCCCAGCCGATCAGTATTTTCTGACAAATTTCTTGTTATTTTTATCCTAGCCTGTTACCTCTTTTAATGTTTGAGGAGCTTAGGTCGTGGTTGGATATTAAGTTGCATAAAAATATTGCTACGAGGGAATTTTCGTCATTGGATCTATATAAAATACTACGGTATTAATCCATCCTGGGTCTACGTCAGAGAACCAAGCTTAGCATGGTATCCGACTAAGATTCATTTAAAACTGCAAGAAGTATATCCTAGGTTTCAACTACGAGCGTGCACGTATGATATAAATAAGAAGGCTATACCATAGAAAAAGATAATATTCCGAGTAAAGGATTGGCTAGCTGGTAGCTACAATACGCCTTCTCCCATCCTTCTTCGATGGACCAACTCCTCAAATCATCCAAAAACCCTCCCAAATGTATAATGACCCATCGAGAGATTAAAGGTAGTATCGAAAACGCCTAGTGGCCTGGCGCGGTTGAGGAGTGAAGCGGAAACGGACGAAGTAGCAGACACAACTAATCTATGGATGATGGATGGATGGTTGCTTATTTGCCGCAAGAGCAGCTGGAACCGCATTCGCCTGTTAGAAAATAAAGTGTCAGTGTTGGTATTTAGAAATGAAGTTGTAGTTGGATTGGAATAGCGGGGTTCTAGATAAGACCATAATGGGATGGCTTACAGTTGTCAGCACAGCCGCAGTCGCCCTTCATTTTGAATGATGGTTGGTTGGTTGGTTGGTTTTTTTTGTAAGGTGCTGAAATAGTTTAGTTGATGTTATTGGTCAACTTTGATTGTGATCTGATCGTGAATATAATCGTGCGTGTAGTTGGAAAGTTGATAGAGAAGAGGGACATGTAGTAACCTTTTATATTGTCGATAGGTAACCTTAGTGTTCGGGATGTGGGTCCATGGATATTCCGAATCGGGGTAAGAATAGAGATAGATGACCAATGAAGGCATGCAAAATGACGATGCCCCGTTTGTGCGGGGTTTGCGCTTTTTCAGCGCGATGTCGCCCTGTCTCACCACACCACCACAACCCAATCCTAATACGGAAGCTAACTTTTAGCTAGTTTGATCTATTCCTGAAAGACATGGATCCCGAGTTTTCAATCAGCTAGTTTCCAATCAGATGACGCATGTGTACGGGGTATACCACGCACAAGTCGCGCAAATGAATTCAAGAATCAGTCAGTTAGTCATTTCTTTTTCTTTACTCATCTAATATAATTAGACAATCTGCGATGTTTGTGCGTTATTGTCAGCCTGTTGGTTAAGGTTCTCTTTGTATCTAATTAACCTCTTTTCTTTTGGTAATACATGACGTTAATCCGAGACAGCCTTTGCTCTTCTTGATATTGCATATCCTCTTTGCGTAGGGGCTTGATTCGCAGCGGCTTTGCTATGCCGACAAGCTAATCGTGCGGTTTCCACGACAGTTAGGGTGTGCCTCCCACGGTTTGAGTTAGTTTTCATTCGAGCTCCCACACCCGGGACCCAGTTTACGATGTGAGCTTGCTACCTTGCGTGTATATAAGCTGGGTGTGTGATGGTACGGGTGGGCTGCACGACAGACAGCTGCGATGCGTTACGGTTACATCGCAGATCCCTTAATCTTCTATCATTTGCCATCCGCGGTTCGCGACTCTTGGAAACTCCTTGTCACCGACGAACTACTCTGTTCTCCATTCTGCGGGTTCTATAATCTACATAATCTTCTAGGGATTAAGCAGGCTATCTTGCAGGTTATGTGACTGGGGGGGGGAGGGGTGGCATTCGTAAGGCGGATTCCGTCGGGACATATGGTGATACCCCAAGTTCGTGTCGTAGCCCTCCCACGTTATCGGAATCAGTCGTATTTCGTGAATGCGTATGTTATCCCGCCTTATCACAACTCAATGCGGGAAATTCTAGCGTAGATTACTAGTCAACTAGGAGTTCTGGTCGCTTTGATTGTATAGACAGGAGAATATTACGAGTAGGTATCTATCAAGAACCGTCAGTAATACCAAAAGAAAGCATGGGCAAAACAACAAGGTTGACAGCATTAAATGATGTCAAGTTTTGACATAATGTATTCCTCGAATATTTGATAACGTTTACGTGTGGTTTGGAATTGTACCGTGGGATAATGCATACCTAAGGTAGGTATGCGAAGGGAGAAGCCAGATTAAGCAGGCTACGTGTGTGATATAGCAGCTTGTACTTATATCTTACATCATACAATGATATCTACTGGGGTCTTTTGGTCAGCAGGCCTGGCTTTTACATTATTCCACCGTAGACTCCGCGGAGTTAGTGGTAACCTTGGCAATATGAAGACCGCAGAATAAGAAAGTAATACTCATCGCGCCTGATCCCGTCCGAAGAACTTCAGCCTCGACTCTAAATCCGCCGTCAACCCTTCCCCCAGCTCCGTGGATACGACACTCCCCTGCCAGTCGCAGGACACATATAGTTTTCCGTCTTTCGCCGCGACTAGGCAAGCCCCGAACGCTACGCCGTGAACTTCGGAGCCGATGGAAAATATCGACCGATCGATGGACCACCACCTGGCGTTTCCCCCCCGCAAAAGCGTCCGAGTTGCCTTCTACAGGATTATCGCCGTCGCTTAGAGACGAAGGGGCTGTGCCGTCGATAACTCCTATGTTAGACACGGCGACCGAGTGGGCTCTGGGCTTCTCCAGCCGTTCTTTCAGCAACGCGTGAAAGTCAGGGATGAACTTCATCAGGCCTATCTGGTCGTTCTTAGTCCCCTCGTCCAGCCTCTTTACCAAATCGGCCCGCACCCTTTTCGCGACAGGCAGGCGCCAAGTTACGATTGTAGACCCCCGGAACGCGCGCGCTTGCTCGTCGGAGGATCTGCATGCGAGATTGGCATCTGCATGCGAGATTGGCGTGCGCAAGCGCCTGTAGTAGGCCCGTTAGAGTAGTCCAGTGAATGTGGCATACTGCTACAATATTTGGTACGGCGATGGGAGATATGCCAAAGTGTCGGTACTCCGACGCGTAACGCCCAGGCCGGATGGGCGCCCAGGTTGGATGCAAGTCCGTTTCGGTTTTGGTACGTAATACTGCCGGCTTGAACTCATTCCACAGCGTGGCCAGCGTGAACCCTAACTCGACGGGGAAGTCGCATAATGAGTGAAGTGATGGTAGTAGATCTCTCCGCCGGGAAAGGGGTATCGTGAGGATGCGAGTTTCCGGGTTAAATCCTTCAGGCACCGAATCATTATTACGGCCGTTTAGATGCCGCAACATATCTTCGTGAAATGTCTTTGCGCTAATACCGACAATGTGCGAGTGACCCCATTCCCACATTATATCAATGAATCCCCTGCCCTTGATGCTTAGCATGAGGATACGTCATGCTGGTGCTGTCTCGGGCTGTCCTACCTTGATATTGAGACGGCTCTTGATAAGAGCTTCGAGTTCGGTATCATAATCCTTACTGCCGTCGAGATGGCGCCATTCGATGTGACGAGAAAGGTCTACCGCATCTAGCTCGGCGAAACCGGGTTTGCGACTGTGTTCATCTCTTAGGCCAACACGTAGAAGAGGGTGTTCTAGTAAGATCTAAAAGATAGTCGACTCAACCGTCTGCTGTAATTTCACCCGCGACTCTGCGGGGAGGAGGGTTGCGGGCACCGTGAACCTGCATGTCAGCATAGAGCTCCGATAAAGGTCAAACGAGAGCATGGCTGCTTCGAAGCGTTCTCTGCGTCGATATTTCCATTAGACTTAGTCCTGAGACTGAATGACATAATAGTAATTGTGCATACAAATATCCAAGGAGTCTAACGACTTTCGCCTCTTGTCTTGTGTTTGGCAGCTGCTCATCCTTCTTTACGTGGCCTATCGTGGCCTATCAAGTCTAGAATTACTTCGGAAGCAAAATGTCGTAACAGGCGCGGCGGGGAATATGGATATTTGAAGGACAATAGTCGAAATATCTACTATAAAGTTGAAGTAGTTCAGATATTGATCACGAGATACTATAGATACGTATGAAAGCTTCAGTTTAGACCCTCACCGGACACCTATCTATATTTATATCGCATATGACTTCGGCCCGCTCGGCTTCCTCAGGCGACCGACTACAACGGCGAAGCAGTATTAAGGGGTAGAATATACGAGCCAGGGCCGTGTGGCGCAGCAGGTAGCTAACGGGTACTGTAATTTGGATCGTGAGAATTGACATGACGTGAGGGTATTGACTGGCAAACCGCTCGTCTTACACCAGCTGCTTGACGGTAGAATAGTAGTAGTTTAGTCCTAATTGTTCTATATACCCGTTAATACCAGTAGAAAGTTAATGAGTGATGAAAAGGGTCAAGCCAAACAAGTAGATAGCCCAGTTCATCGTACTATTTAAATATCAATACGATAAAAGGTAAAGTATGTGTCTATCCGCATCACCTAAGCTAGAAGAACGCGATGGCTGAGCTCGATGCGAAGAAAATCATAGTTTCTTCAAAGCACCTCAGATGTTTGTCCCTATCCTAAAACTTGATAACATACCACATCACGATCCATCCTTAACGCCGTGTGTGATGCAATGCCCGGCATCATGAATGCTTGCGAGACGAAATAAAGGGAAGAGTACGTATGTACAAATAATAATAATAATAATGATGATGATAATAATGATAATCATAGATAGGTCAACTCCATCTAGGGAAATGCGGCTACTCAGTACGCTGCTTCTTGCCCCGGCCGCGCCTTGCAAGGAACTTCTCGCGACCACCGACATCCTTCCAGTATTGATCTAGAGCATCCGGGGCAACCTTCTTCAGCTTGGCTTCGGCTTCGAATGATGTCTCGCCCCGCGTGGGCGGATGGCCGACCCATTGAACTTCGAATTCGAACCCGCCTCTAGCCTTCTTTTCGTGACCGAGCAGTTTGAAGACGTGGTAAATCTCGATGGGCGCGTTTTTAGGTTTAATGAAGAGGGCGTTGATGCGACCGCCTTGGGCTTTCCAATATGCGTACAGCGTTTCTTCTGCGCCTCGTTGGATTTCTTCCTCGGCCTCCCAAGTAGCATCATCCTCGCTCTCTCCAACCCAGTGGACGAGAAGCTCGACCCTGCCGTCCTGGGCCATCCTGTGCCGAAGGAGGGCCTGAATTTCTTGCTCTTCGTGTTCGTCGGCTTCGGTTAGCGTCTGCTCCTTCCGGCTCACTTCCGTCGCCTTCTCTTTACCCTTTGTATCATCTTCGGCGTGGTCGTTATCTGTAGGTCCGGCATTATCGTTGGAAGATTCTATGAGGCGTGGAAATCATCAGCTTACAACTCGAACGTTTCATATAGCGAAGATGCAATACTTATAGACATACCAGGGACACCCATATCAGCCACCGGGACGAGTGAGGTTGTGCTAGCCTCTTCTTCAGGTTGAGGATGTAGTCGTGCCGCTCCGGGTTCTTGTGCGCGAGCTAAATTTGCTGCGGCATCGACGCGTGGACCATCTGTTACCTCGCCTTTTCGAGCACCTGATGAACGGCTTCGACGCTCTATAATACATATTAGCTACGATCCGATGGATGATAGCTGACCTTCCAGACGTACTATTAGTCTTGCCTGTCGATATCGGTCGTCCCTTTGTGCTAGAGTTGGCTGCTTCCGAAGAAATGCGCGATCGAGTGCGCTGAGTCGAAAGTGTCTTTTGAACTGGCTCGTCTGTTTGCTTTGATTAACACCAACATGATAGACAAAGAGTAAAGCTCCTGAATAGGCGATTATTGTATCGGTGTCCTCTTACCATCGTCTATCTCATCGTAAGGATCGCTCTTAGCTTTTCGCTTAGTACCACGCGATTCCTTGTCGCCGTTTACCGATCTGGGCGCGGGTGAGGACTTGGCGAACTTATTAAGGAGGTTAGACATCATTGGGATGGAGTAGACGCGAAGGTGCGAAGAGAACAGAAAATTGATGGCGCTGTAGCTTTAGGGATGGTAAATAGCTCGAGGTTTAAGGTAGGTGATGACTTGGGTAAGAATATTCAGAAGCTTTCTGAAAGCTTTCAAGAAACTTGAAGTGGCGCGGCAACAAAATGGTGGAACCGCGACTTTTTTGTTACTTGGAATGACGAAGAAGTTGCTGGCCCTGGGAACTTGACGTTGGGAACCCGAGGTTTTAATTGTTATTGGGTACTTATAAGAAAGTGGCTATCTTGACTATAGAAGAAGTACTTTTAAACAACAAGCTGTTCAGAAGTCTACCTGTTATATGCTATATTCATTAGGAAATGGTCCGTGCACACACCGACTTGCTTTGCCTAAGTGATCCGTATCGTACCTTAGGTAGGTGTATACATCTATTTCATCCTGATAACTCACAACTTACAAGTTACCAAGTTATCCTATGCTACGTGAAGAAAAGTGAAAGCTATAAGGTCATGTGAAGATGATTTCTGATATCTCTCTCCGCACTACTGTTTTTAGATTAGTTTACAAGGTTTCATTTCGTTACAAGCTTCCATCTTCCCAAAGTGATCCTTTATCTAATGGAGAATTCAGCCAAGAGTTAGTACCTACACGCTCTACGAAACCCCCTTATAGTTAAACCAATCAAGTTTCATATCGTAAAGATTAAGCGTTCCTAATCCAATGTATGATAGGTACCATGTAAGGTATCCAACAATCAACTTTAAACCTCACACCTAGGTATGTAGGGGGTTAGGCATTCACTTTCAACTTCCGTTCAACTTGGGCTCGATGCCTTCACGTTAACGCCTGTAGTCTTCATTTCAATGACACCTTATCTATTTAATTCAGTCCGTATCTTAATGCCGTAACGATAGAAAGTGCAATACGCTACTGTTCAAGTTTGACTTGGTTTATAAATTATGACTCGACCTGAGTAGAGGCTTGCCGCACTTATAAAATCAAGCAGGATCGAGCTGTTAGAAAAGATCTGACGATGGCACAATTAATCGACAGCGCTAGGCAGGGCCGTAACCTAGTTACTTTTAAAACCTAGGTACCTACCGACTAATATGAGCTTACCATACTTGTTAAATGTATCGTCTTCCTCTTATTCTAGATAGCATGTTTGGTGATAATTACCTGAAAAGGTAAGATTGCGTGGGTTAGCGCTGGTTTATACCCAGGTTCTTATTTAATCCATTATGATTCATAATGGCTTAGAATGATGTACATTCGCATATATGCTTATGCACTTCGTCGAAAGACTATAGCATCTAACTCCAAGCAACTCTCAGCCTTTTACTATCTACCGGTATAAAGTGGAACTTACCACGGGAGACTTCGATATTGGGAATTGAGAGTAGGTGGGCATCATGAATTGATCAAGATTTCTCTTGAACCTCTCAGCATTCATCCCACCTCTCGCTTTGAGATAATACTTAAGTCGAGCGAAACATGACAAGTCCGGGTAGACACGCTCTTGTTTTCGGGGGTACTGGCCTTATTGGTTGGGGCGTCGTCAACGAGTTGCTCTCGGGTTATCCTGAACAGGGGCTGTTCAACAGAGTCACTGCAGTCACCAACCGTTCGCTCAAGCCGGAAGATACGCACTGGCCAGATGCATTGCCAGGCTTACCCGAACTTCAGATATGCTCAGGAGTTGGCCTCTTGAACGGAACCGGCGAAGACCTCGCAGCTACTCTAGGAAAGATGGTTCCGGACGCCCAGGGCGTCACTCACGTCTTCTACTTTGGTTCCTAGCACCCCCGTACCAGTCTTGCGGGAGCTCCAATCGCTGACTGGGGGCAGTCTTTACTTCTTTTTCGAATGACTTTGAGCAAGAGTGTGAATTGAATTGTGGTATAATGCGAAGAGTAGCAACGGCCGTAAATATGCTTTGTCCAAGCCTTCAGTCTTTTGTTTACTCAGGGGGCACTCGGGTAAGCACGCTTTAATGGACAAGTTTGTGAACTACTACTAATGGGGCAAAGGGATACGGTATCTATGATCCTAACATCAATTTCAAGATTCCGCTCGAGGAACATATGGCCAGCCAAATTCCCGAGGATTACGCTAAAACTGTCGCATATCCATGGTTTAGGGAAATACTCACCAAGGCCGCAGAGGGCCGGGGATGGGCCTGGACGGAAGTCTGCCCTGATGTCGTCGTCGGCTTCAGCCCGATAGGCTCCGGGTACTCGCTCGCACTCCACTGGGCGCAATATCTCTCATTATACGCCTTCAACCACGGCATCTCAGAATCAAACGGTGAGAAAAGGGTAGAGATTTCCTTTCCTGGGACTGAGGCCGGCTTCAACGCCCGGTTTACCCAGGTCTCTACTCGCATTCTAGGACGGATCAGCATTTTCGCGTCGCTCAACCCAGACAAGCTCGATGGACAGATCATTAATACGCTCGATGACCCGACCCCTACAACATTCCGCGAACTATGGCCCGAGATTGCGGGTTGGTTCGGCCTGGTAGGTGTTGGCCCATCTAGACATGAGGACTCCTCGCTCACTCCGAGCGAATACATCGCAAAGTACAAGCATCTCTTTGAGGAACATGGGCGCCCAAAGGGTGTCACGGCCGGAGTTGGTGCTGGCAGCAAACAGCTTGACGCCGTCGGACATTGGCTAAATTTCGACAGAGAGCTCAGCGCTGATAAGCTCCGATCTACCGGCTTCCTTGAACAACAATTACCGGCTCATTCATGGATGGAAGCCTTCAGGAGTCTCAGGCTTGCTGGTGTCATCTTTTAATTGTGATACGGGCTCCTAATAAGCATCAAGATCCAACCCCGTATATGGCAAAGTTTTATGTTAGCCTTTAGGTATGAATCAAGGCTTACCCTTTCGTATTCTACAGTGGCAATAAGAGTACCGCTATAGTACGACTAGGCTAACCATCGAGAACCAGCCTCTCTTAAGTTCAGGAACTCAAATGTTGTATGTACCTAGGCACCGAAAAACTAGAACGGCTAGGGATAAACGCATGAAAGGGGTTTGCTATTTTATGCATGTTGAGGGGATACGTGCTATTAGAAAAGATTGTTATAAGCAGCATTGAAGGTACATACATATACTTAGGTACTTAGATACGTAGGTACTTAGATACATGTGCTTTGCATCGGCGCAAACCCAATGAAAAGGCGCGACGCGAAGGTGGGGGAGGGGTAGAGGGGAAAATTCCAATGGGTTAAACAACAATTTTCTTACATGAGTCAAAAGGCGCCGACAGCTTTTTAGGTATGACTGAACTTTTAAACTGACCTTCCAAACCCCAACCCCAACCCGCGTCTTCATGACCTCTCCTCACACTCGAACTATCATTGTTCGCACAGTCTGGCCACTTCGACATAACGTTAGACAATTATCTACTATTCCTCTTCGTCTCAGGTACTATTCTTACTATTCTACTAAATCCAGTCGCCAACCATTATTCGTCTTCCAGAGACGCGCCGCTAGCAATATGACCTCCGCCAGTAAAATAAACGAGGTTCTCTTAAAGCTAGATGGCCTAACACTCGAATCTATCGCTGAGAAATACCCCACCACGCATCCAAAAGTCAATCCTTTCGATGTCTACCGAGTACATATCAGCGAAGTCCTAGCCCCCATCACAGGCGTAGCCCCCGAGAAGATTCTCTCCGTTATCCAATGGACAAACGCCCTCGATAAGGGAGACTTCACCTTACCTATTCCCGCCCTCCGGATAAAGGGCGCAAAGCCAGATGCATTAGGAGCCGAGTGGGCAGCCAAGGTAAGAGTCGCTTGGAGATATATCCCTATACACTGCTAACTGTTCCTATCTATAGTTCCCTGAAGATGATCTTCTTTTCGAGAAACCAGTCGCTGCCGGCCCATTTCTCTCCTTCTTCGCTAAAGGCGCCCCTCTATCACAGTCGATTATTCCTATGATCCGCAACCTCGGCGAGGAGTATGGACGAAATCGGTTCCTCGGCCTAAAAGACCCCAAGGACCCGAGCAAAGGAAAGAAGCGGATCGTCGTCGAGTTCAGTTCCCCCAACATTGCTAAGCCATTCCATGCCGGACATCTTCGTTCCACAATCATCGGAAGCTTCCTCGCAAACCTATACGAGGGGGCCGGTTGGGATGTTGTCAGGATCAACTATCTCGGCGATTGGGGTAAACAATACGGCCTCTTAGCTCTGGCTTACGAGAGATATGGAGACGAGGAAGCACTAAAAAAGGATCCTATCGACCACCTCTTTCGACTCTACGTTCGTATAAATGCCGAAAAAGAAGAGGAGTTGGCAACCATCGAGGCCAAGAAGAAGGAAGGCCAGGATGTTACCGAACTATTGGCTAACTGCTTGGATGAACAAGCTCGAGGATATTTCCGCAAGATGACGGACCGAGACGAAGAAGCTATAGCATTATGGAAGCGTTTCAGAGATTTGAGCATTGTCCGGTATAAAGCGACGTACGCCAGGCTGAACATCAAGTTCGACGAATACAGCGGCGAGAGTCAGGTCACCGAAGAGGCGATGGAAAAAGTAGCCAAGGAGATGGCCGAAAAGGGAATTACCCGAGAAGACCAGGGCGCCGTGCTCGTCGACTTTACAGAGCTCATACCGGGTAAGGAAGGTAAGCGTCTCGGGCGGGCAGTTGTTAGGAAGAGGGATGGAACTGCTTTATATCTCACCCGAGATATTGCAGAGCTCCTAGGTCGGTACGAGAAGTACGGATTCGATCAGATGATTTACGTCGTTGCTAGCCAGCAGGATCTTCATCTTCAGCAACTCTTCAAGATCATCGAACTCCTCGGCTACAAGGACATTGCAGCTCGCTGTCAGCACATAAATTTCGGACTAGTGCTAGGCATGAGTACCCGAAAAGGAACCGTTAAATTGTACGTCCTCAACTCAGCTTTTTGACGCCTAGCTAACAATGATTTTCCCAGCTTGGACGATATTTTGCGGGACTGCGCCGATCACATGCACGAAGTCATGAGGAAAAACGAAGCCAAATATTCCCAAGTAGAAGACCCCGAAGGCACCGCTGATACGCTCGGAATCAGCAGCGTAATGACACAGGACATGAGCGGGAAGAGGTACGTTATCAAGTCGACCCGTCAGCGTGACGAGAGCTAACGAATATCGGTGGCTAGGGGGAATAATTATACCTTCGATTTGGCAGTGATGACGTCTTTCGAGGGAGACACCGGGCCTTACTTGCAATACGCGCACACCCGACTTTCGTCTATCAAGCGCCGAGCGAACGTCTCGGACGAGGAGTTGGCTAATGCGGATCTATCGCTCCTTACGGAGCCTCATGCCGTCAACGTAGTCCGACTACTTGCCCAATGGCCGGACGTGGCCCAGAACACGCTACGGACCTTGGAGCCGACTACGGTGGTAACGTACCTCTTCAGGCTCACACACGTAATCAGTAGTAGCTATGACCACTTGCAAGTAGTGGGTAGCGATCCTGAGTTGAAGGCAGCTCGTATGGCATTATACGATGCCGCCCGGATAGTAGTAGGAAACTGCATGCGATTACTCGGATTAAGTCCTCTTCAGAGGTAAGTTTATCACGATATCACACTGGAGGCCATGTTCTGACTTTTCTCAGGATGTAAAAGACAACTAAGAGACTAGGAGTACGCGTATAAAGTGCTGTTCCGATGACTATTAGCATGGAGTCCGCGCATATGACACGCATTGGGGGTTACTTACGGTAAGAGTACCTATGTTAGGTACCTTTGGTAGTTATGGTCTATCTCGCCTGGCACCTTTGCTGGAAATGATACCACGCTGTCACAGTTACGTTTGCTGCGTTTACCTGCAACTCTGCTCGTTAGCCGCCATTCTCGCGTTTGCGGGTACGAGGGTAGGCCTACGGTTCTAATTTCTGCCTAGTCTATCTGACTGCTCCAATATGTCGATGAGTAACTAACCGTGGTTAAAATAAGTAAGACGATGAATGAAAATACCAACCTCTTGAGATTTTTTTTTCTTTAGAGATACTCATCATCTCAATACTGTGTGGTGTCGTATTTGGATTCATAAACCCCCATAGCGGCACGACGTCGTCTATCTCTACTATGATAGGTACCGCTGTCATGCATCATCAACAACTTCAATCACGTAAGAAGATTAGAATCTATAGTACGCTATGAAATAGACAAGAAACACTCGAGGCTGAAATCTTGTGCGCTTGATGTATAAGTCTTAGGTACCTAGAAAATAGCTCTTGGAACCATGACGCTATGTCCGAGTTCGAACGGAATATCGCTTCGCTAACCCCTGTCTCGTGTCGATTCTGCCTACCCAATGTTGAAGCAGTAACAAATATCCATAATCATCACGTAATATTATCGTCTTTGATTTAGTATGCAACACCTTACTCGGGAAACTCGAATCTGTGATCTTCGTCCTGAAACTCATTATCCAAGGTCCGCGCGCCCCATTGAGTCGTAGGTGGAGGCTCCCAGCCGCCTCGATGGCTTAACATCCACGCATTAGCTTGCTTTAGTAACAGGTGCAGCATGCAAGTTGTTGCAACTGCTCCCACGCAGAAGCATAACACTTCACCGAGCAGGGCCTGGCTTGAGTGTATATCTTCCAGGTTGGTAGTCACTTGGGGTCCGAGGAGGAGAGCGTAAAAGTTGGCAAAGCTCATACAAGTGGTAGCGATTGCGATGCATACCGCTCGTTTTGGTCGATTCCACGGTACACAGTTCAGCACCCAAGTCAAAGTAATGGATACGATGAAAGAGGCAGTTGGGAGGTCAAAGACAAGTGCCGTGAAGAGAAGCTTTGCTACCATTTTAGGTGTAAGCATGGCGGGATTATAAATCATCAATGTGAAAACCACCGTATTAACCAATATGATAACGAATAAAGAACCTTGGATGATCCGATGTCGACGTATGGCTAGGTTGGCGAAAACCCCCCCGAATAAAGAGAATATACACCAAAGAAACTGCTGCTACGTCAGCAAATATGGTTTATATATGCCCACCGGTATGACTTACACAGACCACGGCCATCATTGTTCCTTTCCACATTCCATTGGTATTGCCGGTCGTTTGTAAAAGCGTGTCTATACTAATTAAGTATCGTAGGTTGCCAAATCCCGAAGCTATTGCCGAGATAAAAAAGCATGTCAAAGCCTTGCAAGACGAGAGAGGGTTAGTAAAGTGAACCCTTACATATTTTGAATGGCCGGACCTACCAAAAGCCATGTTTTTATATCGCAGAGAGCTCTTGTCAGACCGTAGCAAACATATTCCCAAGTTGGCTCATTTTCGTATTCCACCGGGCGAGACCATCCGGAGGCTTCTGCCAAGCGAGATACGAATATTAGACGTTCGACCGCCGAGAGCTAGTCAGTCGATCGAGGGAGGTTGGGTGATATGGTGTAGTATATACCTGCCGTGATCGTGGTGATAAGTCCCAATATTATTATGTAGATAGCGTGTGCTGTACGGATATCAACTGGCGTAATGTCGGTCTGGGGTATAAAACCGCACACGGCGATGAAAAATGAGGCTAGCGGCCATATCGCAACCATTAGGGAGACCTTTGTGCCCACACCTTTTCTCGTATACTAGCATGAAAGCAGATATAGGAAGCCAGGAAGTATCGCTGATTCCAACATACCCAGTGTTAGGTAGAAGAAGTGAGCTTCTAGGAGGCTGTTCGCGAAATAGGAAATCCATTGAGCTATGCCCCAAGCGACTAATACACCGCACAGGTAGTCCGCAGGCCTAAAAGTCGTGCTTAGGAATAAGTTGGATGGGACTTTGAGCAGGTTAGCTATCTTTTATTGATGATAATTGCTCATCCACGGTTTTACCTTGAAATATGATATGACCGATTTCTCTTGTTAGTGCGATTCCCTAGTTGTACGTGAGCAAGAAGTTGGACGTTATGCTCATAATAAATATCGATATGACGAACCTTGTATTGCTGCTCGGTGAAGCCAAGAACCTGCTCCAAGTATGGCTGCTCACGTGTGAAAAATTCATAGTCTAGTTGGATTAAGAAGCCTAATACATAGCATATAGAATAAGCATAGACACCTTAGAGAGATGCATTGCCCGGTAATTCAATGGGCTGGAGTCGGAACGTCAATAGGTTGATGAGAAGACTAACAGAAGATTATGACAAAGGGTAAGAGTCGATATCCGACTTTATGGCGGATTTTACGTCTCAGTTCCCGATATTCCTTTTGAGTTAATGGGTATACAGGCGGTGGCGCTGCCGGGTTGGCGACCGGCCGAGCTGGAATCGGTTGGAATGTTTCCGCAATGAGTGCGTTGAGATTAGCTTCGGGATGGGGGTCGACTTCTGAGTAAGGGGGTGAAGTAAATTCGGGTGTTTGGGCAAGCCTCCCATCCTGATCAAGTTCCTGCAACTCGATTTCAAGTGTCTCCGGTGCTGCTGGATCTCGAGGTAGACGTACTGCATAAGCCATAGGTTGGGTCAAAAGAGAGAAGGAGTCCAATTCGAAAGCACTTTTATATCTATGTAGAAAAAATATGTCGCGAGATAGATATTATTGTTGTGTACAGACGATATTTTACGGGCTATGCTGTTAAGGAGACGGTATGTAAAAGGTAGTTGTAAAAAGAAATTATAGACGGATCGAGTTTGTGAATAATTCTATTTTGTTTTCTTCTCTTCTATACTGCATTGGGCTTTCTTTCTACTCGTGCCCCGCCCCACTTAATTCTGGTTTCGCAAGCGTATACCAGTCTTAACTGGTGCTTACCACTATTATCCACACATCACCATTATCCCCATTATCATTATAAAAATTCATATAACCTTCATTTTTAAAGTTATATAATTCGAAAAAAGGATTTTAAATATATAAAAATTTAAATAATATAATAAAAAATAAAAAAAATTATAATTATAATATTTATATTATATTATATATTATTTTTTAAATTTTTTATATAATATTTTATATACAAATGTATTTTTATAAATATAAATAAAATTAATAAAAATATAAAGTAATTTTTTTATTTTTACTTAAATTTATATATAAAACTTATATAAATTTAAATTATAAAATATTACGTAATTAAATTATTATAAATCTTTTTTAAATTTAATACTTTTTAAAAATTCATTTATAATATTTTTAATAAAATAAATAAAATAGCTATTAAAATTTAAAATATATAATAAAATTATATAAATTTTAATTTAAATAATTATATTTTTCTTTTTTTATATATATGTATGGTTAAAAAGTTATTATAAAAGTTAAAAAATCTGGGGATAATTGTGGTGTGTGGATAATTGTGGTAAGCACCAGTTAAGACTGGTACACGCTTGCGAAACCAGAATTAAGTGGGGCGGGGCACGAGTAATTGGCTACTGGGCCCCTGTACCTTCCATTTTAGGACGCGGGGATGCATGAGCCTCAGTAGCTCCATGCCGTATTCCAGGGGGAAAAGACCTTACCTTTGGTTTCCAGTGGACCAAACGAGGCACAGTCTTGGCAATCCCCTTTAGGTTCAGTATCATAGTTATTATATTCTAGTTGCTTTAAAAAATCCTGAAAATTTGGAAGAACTAGTATTTGAATATTGTACCGTTATAGTTATGAAATTGGTGAAGTCATAAGGATGTAAAATCATGTTATCCATTGTTACATTTACACTTACTTTACGGCCGAATTGTTAAAGCAATGAAATAGTAAAGATTAGAAGTAAATATAATAGTCTTTTACGTATAAAATAAGATATGTCATATGTAACATACTATTATATTGGTATAATGATTGATTCTTTGAGAAAAGTTACATGTTAAAACTGCGCTATCAGTTGTCTCCGGGGACTGTGGTGATAAACCAAAAATATCAAACATAGGTGATAGCATAAACCACACACCCCCACATTAGAGGAAAGCTGAATGACAATTACCAGGCCTAGACAAAAAATGTATGGGGTTCTTTACAGCTTGCGGAGCGACCTCCTCTCACCGAGCCCCCCTTGTAAAGCCGAGTTGTTAGGTGTCGGGTGTCAGGTGTCAGGTCATAGAAATGAATAGCCCCGAAATCTCAACTCCACATCTCCACAGAGCTAACAGAACTACACCAAGACTAAGACTATACGGGTGTATAGGGTGTCTAGATCCTAAGTGGTAGCGGAGCGCCTCCGGTTTACTCCACAAGAGAGGCTAACCTCCATACTTTTTACACACATCCATCTTCTAGTGTCCAGCTTACAAGAACTTCTCCAACTTCAAAAGTCTTCGTTCCCCACATAGAGCTATTCCCGCTTTGATCGTGGGGGTCTCGCTTACTCCAATACTAGGTAGAGTGTAGAGATGCTTCCCCGACTGCCGCATACTCTATTTGGGTCGACATATTCTACCTTGAAGAGGTGTCGGCGGAGCTGGATAGTGTTGCTACCGAGGTCAATACTCACCTCTAGACTCTAAGCCATAAACATGCCCAAAACATAACTTGAAGCATAGGTACCCGACAAGTTTCAAAACAATGTAAATAGTACGAGTTCCCGATTGGAAATATCCCGAGGCTAATTCGCCAAGGTTGCGAGAAGTACAAATAGAACGCAGGCGAGTGGCGTCGATTCTTACAGGGGGGCATCCAACAGACCGAGTTCGGTTGACGAAGGTTCAGCAGCTACCTAATACTTACATAGTCAAAACCGAGGATCCATCAACTAGGACAAGCTGCGAATGGCTACGACGTTTAACTATGCAGTACCAAAAATATGGTGCGTGCTCCTCGACTGATCCAGTTTTTGCTTCCCGCGCCATTAATACTTACGGTCGCCCTGACGTTTTTCATCCTCTTACTCTATCTTTGATGGAACAGTCGACATGGCTTATGAGTGTAATATGGCTCCTATGACGCTTAACGATCCCGAAGTCGACGATACGTTCCCAGAGAGGCATGTTCCCGTCAATCCTTCTGAATCCAAGCCACAACCAGAAACTCAAGACGAGCATGCGCGTGTAGACCTTCCCGCGAGAAATTTACGAAGGCGGCGTAGACGACGGTCGGAGAGTATAGAGGGCTACGAGATGAGGGATAGATATTGGGAAGCTATGGATATTATCGAACAAGATCTCACCGAAGCAGCGAAGGCACCCGCCGTTTGGGATTACGTCTACGATCCAGTTTGCTTGCCTCCGTCGGGATTCGCTAAGACGCCCGACATTCGCCGGCTTGGAAAGCTTCCAATTCGAAGAGCGTGGAGGCGTCTTAATAGCCGAGAACGTCCCGACCTAGGATCAGCGCGGATAGTTGAAGCTATTATGCTATACGAGAGGGGCATGATGCTTTCTCGACAGTTCCAATGCACACATTGCCAGAAACGTCAGGGGATATCGCCAGGATGCATTGTTTTGGATCCTGACGAAGAAAAGGAAGCTTTAGAGAGCCTTGGCGGGCTTAGGTCAATATGCAGCAACTGTCTGTACGATGGACGACAGTGCGACGCGCAGATATCATCTGGGCGGAATCAGCCTTCTAGAACGCCAACACCTAGTCAGATTAAGAGATCCTCCGCTTCAAATCCAATTCATCTAGAGGTGCTAGATCTAGTAGACAAGAAGCTAAAGTCGATAAAGGGGGACGGAAAGGAAGATGCGGCTACCCGAGCAAAGCAGATTGAGATGGCGGCTCTAGAAATCGCACAGGCAGCACACGAATGGGGTCTAGGTATTAAGGAGAAGCGTCGAAAGAATTTAACCCCAGCAAATCCTACGAATTGAGCGTCCGTTTCCGTCTACGAGCATCACCGAGTGGATTTATGACGACTTAATATGCTATGCTGAGTAAAAAGACCCTTAGGATTTTCGTGGAGGTGCTATACCTTGGTCGATTACACTTGGTATGTATAGTATTATACATAGTTAATATTAAAGCACTTGAAAGAATCTAAGATTGCAATAATACTTATATTAAAATTGTATATATATTTAAGGTTATGGAAATTTCCATGTTTATATAATTACCCCATTATTATAATAAAATACGTATTATTCGTTATAACTTTTTAAATATACATATAAATATTATTTAAATAAATACGTTTTATACGTTTTTACGGATATATTATAAAATTATTCCCGATTTTTTATATTTAATAACTTTATAAATTTATAATGTTTATTTTTATTTAAAAGTTTAATAAATTTATTAATAAAATTCTTTTTATTATTTATATATTATATTACGATATAACCGTTTTTTACTTTTTATTATATATAATAATAATTTTTTTTAATATATTATTTTTAACGGTTTATTATTAATTTTTATAATTATATAATAATTATTATATTATCGTATAATAATATAATTAATCCATTAAATATATAATTTAATTCTTTTAAAAAATTACGTATTTACGTTATATTTATAATAATAATAATAAATATAATATATTTAATTTTATTTAAATTTTTTATTATAATTATTTATAATTTTAATAATTATAATATATAATTAATAATTAATTTTCCGATAATTAAGTTTAAAACGTAATTTATATATATTATACCGTATAATTTAATTTTATTAAATTTATAATGTAAGTAATTTTTATAAAATATTTAATATTTTATATATCGATTTTTAATGTTACGTAAATATTTTATTATTTTTTTTATATTAATTATATATTTTTTCGTAAAATTATATATAAATTATATTTAAATTAATATTATAAAATTAATATTAAGTTTTATTAAATAAATAAAAAAATTTATTTTATTTATTAATAATATATATTTAAATATTTTATTTAAATTTATATAATTATTTTTATTATAAAAAA